GAATTATAGACAGTTAATCGTTTTTACATTATATTGGGGTTGAATTTTGTTGTTTACAATAATTCACTTTAACTGTTTGCATGTTGTTACTTATTTATGTCATGCTTTATAGACTCTTGTTAGACTTGTGTGTCTGACTTTATTTTTATTACTAAAACTTATTATTGGTTGATAATTTATTCTGGAATCTTCAAGATTTTGTTCAACTTACGAAACCGTGTGTGTGTGTGTATATATATATATATATATATATATATATATATATATATATATATATATATATATATATATGGGGTAATGGCAAATAGGCCCATGACAAGGGCACTTAATTAAAAGAGGCACATCCAACTTTTTTATCTTTCAAATAAATCCAACCCATTCAAACTTATTTGCGAATAAGGAAAATCCCTTTATATATACCAAAATTACCCCCAATTCATTTGAAACCCAATTTAACTCCAATTTCATGATTTACACCCCAATTTAGCCAAATTTCATCAATTAACCAATTTTAACCCTAATTTCAATTTTGACCCCAATTTTGACCCGCCACCACCGGAGACCGTTGGTCGCCGCCGTTGACCGGCGTTGACCTCCGGAGACCGCCGGTCTCCGGCGTTGACTTTTTTTTTTTTTTTTTTTTTTTTTTTTTATTTTTATAATTTTGTTTTTTCTTAAAAAAAATATTTTAATTAATATTACTGTCTTGGCTGCTAAATTACTGTCTCCGGCAGTTATTTAACTGTCGGAGACAGTAATTTAACGGTTAATTGACTCTTTTTTTTTTTTTTTCTTCAAAAATATTTTAATTAATATTACTATATTCGTTGCTAAATTACTGTCTCCAGCAGTTATTTAACTGTCGGGGACAGTAATTTAACTGTTAATTGACTTTATTTTCTTAATTTTTTTTAATTAATATTACTGTGTTGGCTGCTAAATTACTGTCTCCAGCAGTTATTTAACTGTCGAAGACAGTAATTTAACTGTTAATTGACTTTTTTTTTGAAATTATGTTTTTTCGTAAAAAATAATATTTTAATTAATATTAATGTATTGGCTATAAATTACTGTCTCCAACAGTAATTAACTCTCGGAGACAGTAATATTACTGTATTAATCAATTTTATCGTCTTGGCTTGCATTTTTGTTGTCTTCGACTGTAATATTACTGTCTCCAACCGTAATATCACTGCCTCATGCAATAATGTTACTGTTTGGGACATTAATTTAGTAATATTACTGTTCGGGAAAATAATATTTATAATATTACTGTCCCAAACAGTAATGTTACTGTCTAAGACACTAATTTAACTGTTAATCGACTCTTTTGTTTTTTTTTTTTCTTCAAAAATATTTTAATTAATATTACTGTATTCGTTGATAAATTACTGTCTCCAGCAGTTATTTTACTGTCGAGGACAGTAATTTAACTGTTAATTGACTTTTTTATTCTTAAAAAAAATATTTTTAATTAATATTACTGTATTCGTTGCTAAAATACTGTCTCCGGCAGCTATTTAACTGTCGGAGACAGTAATTTAACAGTTAATTGACTTTTTTTTTTTTTTTTCCTTAAAAAAATTATTTTAATTAATATTACTGCCTTGGATGTTAAATTACTGTCTCTAACAGTAATTTAACTGTCTTAGACAATAATATTAATAATATTACTCTTTGGAAAAATAATATTCATAATATTACTGTCTGAGACTGTAATTTAGTAGCCAAGACAGTAATATTAATTAAAATATTTTTTTTCTAAGAAAAACAATTCAAAAAAAAAATAAAAAATAAGTCAACGCCGGAGACCGGCGGTCAACGGTGGTTGACCGGCCGGAAAAAAAATTCGGGAAAAAAAAAGTTTCAAAAAAAAAAGTCAACGCCGGAGACCGGCGGTCAACGCCAGAATCTGGCCGGAAAAAAAAAACATTTCAGAAAAAAAACTATTTTCTGAAAAAAAAAAGTTTTGGGGGTTAATGTGATATATTTGTTTAAATTCGGGGTCAATATGTAATATTAAGGAAGTTAGAGCATAATGGGTGGAATTGATAAGAATTATATTATTGAGGGTATTTTTGACTAAAGACATGGGAATGGGCTTAATTGAGAGACTGTTTTTTTGGTGGACCAAAATGCATTTAAGTCCCATGTGATGGGTCTTTTTGTCATTTGCCATATATATATATATATATATATATATATATATATATATATATATATATATATATATATATATTACTATAGCATATATAAGGAGGATTGTTATAATTTCAAGAACAAGAGGGGTTATTTGTGATTCAACATAATTTAAGGAGTTAATTGCAAATACCACCCCTGTGAAATCTTTAATTGTCAAACACCTCCTGTCAAAAATAAAAATTCGCTCATACCCCATGTGTAAGACTTTTCAAGCTAGCTCACAGCACCCATTATCATTTTAATGGTTGATTGAAGGTAAAAAGACAAGTATACCCCTAAGTGGGATAACACTAAATTATAATAATTTAAGAGGCCAAATTAGAATTTTGTTAAATTTCTAAAACTTAAATTGGGGGACTAAATCGCAATTTTCCAAAATCCATCTCCCAACTTTCTGCAATTTTGCCCAGCCGCAACCCAATCCCCCACTCTTCCTCTCAATTTCCAATCATACTTATCATTCACCGCCGCTGCCCACCACGCACCACCACATCCATCAATTGGTTGGGCTTCTTCAAGCTCCAATTTTTTTGGTGGAGGCGTAGAAGCTCGCGACTTGATCGATTTTGTCGATTTCTGATAAAGGGTCTTTAGATGGCTGTGGAATGCGTTTTTGCAGGTCTAAAAATGGTGGCGGACCCGACAATGTTGTTGTGGAAGTAGGAGGGAGAATTGGAGTGGGGATGGGCCGAGGTTTGAACTCGCTTCTCCCAATTGAGGGTGCCCCATTTCGCGGCGGAGGTGCAGCGGTGGACGGCGGAGGGCCAAAAATTAGGACGACTGGGGCGGCGAAAATGGAGGCCCAGAAAGGAGTTGTGGTGGAGTAATTTCGCGACTGTGAAGAGGGAGTTTTCTTACACCATCTACATCTTGCGACCATTTTCATCTTGCGGCTGGTAGTGGTAATCGTTGGTGGGTACTGATACATGTTGGGGACGATGAATAATGAAGAAGAGGGAGGGAAAAGGGGCGTGGGGGATATTTTTGACATTTCACATTAAAAAATCAAGTAAAAAAATCACAGTACGAGCGCGTGAGAGACACTATTTTCTCTCAGAGGTCTCAATGCGTTGACTTTGTTCACATGGGTATGGTCAAATGTTTTTTTTTTTTTTTACAGGAGGTTATTTGACAATTAGAGATTTCACATGGGTGGTATTTGTTATTAACTCTAATTTAAGAGGTTATAAATTGTAATCTATTCTGCTAAATTTGTAGTTTAGGCATATTCTAAGGTTGTTTTCCGAACCATTGTGTAATATAGATTCATGAATGGTGAAGAAAGTTGACAATAAGAAGAAATTGAGTAAATAAATAAGGGCTATTTGTTAAACACCCCCATTGAGATTTGACTTTTTGATAAATTCTTAAATTGTAATTGATATTTCACATAAATTCATTGAGCCTAAAAAACCTTATATGCCACCACTAATTAGTATAACTAGTAACTCACCTATGCGATGCACGGGGCTTAATTCAAAAATAAAAATGAGTTAATTTAGAAAACCAATCGAGAAAAAATATGTCGAGAATGTAAAGAATACAATTGAACATACAATGTTCTAAACACCATCCACGTTGAAGTGTAACAAATAACTCATAGACTGAAATTAAAGGAATGCACCGGTCTTACACATGAATCTGAATGTTGTTAAAGAAGACCATGAAACTACAATTAGATTACGATCAAAGGACGAATAACCTGTTATTTTTCATCATTTTCAATATATATATAAGTTGAAGACATTACGCAGATAAAGAATACTGATATATATATATATATATATATATATATATATATATATATATATATATATTGATATATATATATATATATATGTGTGTGTGTGTGTGTGTGTGTGTGTGAGCATATCAAAAAAAATATTTGATTATTCAAGTGGAAATATATTAATGTTGCGAATAAAATTGAACTCACATAGAGTGTACACGTTGAAATAATAAAGAAATATGAACATATTATCGATAAATGATGTTTGTCAATGTGTACATTAATATTCTTTGGAATACTCATCGGGTTCGCCCTTGATGAAAATCTTTATTCTAGATCTACTCTTCACTCGAGACACGCTACGTACAATTCAATGTGACTGAAAACGGGCCTTGGTAGGTACAATCCAACGTGTGAGATAGTTTGACCTTCACTTTTGTTGATTGTCATGGCAAATGAAATAATTACTGGAAATTGTTGTCTTTAAAATTTAACTGGCAATGTGGTAATTATAATCATAATCATAACGCTAATCCTAATCATACTCATAATCCTAATCAGAATCCTAGTACTAATCCTAATACTAAAGCCACGTTTGGTAGCATTGATAGGGTATGATCCACAACAAATCAAATGCAATATTGTGTTTGGTGGCCACTTGCTAGCCCATTATTAGGTAGAGGCCCGGTTTTTTATCCACCAACGTAGGTGATTATGGATTATATTATTTAGGTTGGATTTGATATCAAGTCCAATGTGATATGTTATATTGGAATACATATCACGGATATTGCATATCACAGCCAGGCCCGTTCCTGGGATTTCGAGGGCCCAAGACGAAACTTTGTGAAGGGAGTCGAAACGGGGCCCTTGTATATTTAGCTAAATTAATATAAAAATGAATGCATGCTATATTTTTAGTGACAAGAAATTAAAATTAAAATAAGTACTAAAAATATTTGTAGTCCAAAAAAAAACTAATAAATAATCTCGAAACAAATTCCGGCGTCACTGAAAAATAACTCTTCTTGCTTTCTGAGCTGCAAAATTACTAATCAAACTACTGAAATTAAGTTTTTCTGTCAAATCTTTGATTAATGGTTGATCGGAGGTAAGACTTGGTTAACTTCAATTTTGAGAAACTTCTTTCTGCAGAGGCAACTGTGACTGGTATAGTCAATAGTATCCTATAAGCAACCCATGCATTCGGAAAACTCTCATTCGTCGCTTTCAAGTAATTCAACACTCCAATTGCCGTTTCTGCTTCTTTCGGTAGAATTTCTCTCAGCACTCTTAGTTCATTAAATAAATCTTCCCCATCAGTATCAGATTCCATATCGTTTTTTAAAAAACATTGAAGCTTAACACAAGAAGCCTTCAGACATTCATCTTCTATCAATTTCCACTTCTTTAAATCTAACAAAAATCCAAATTGTCCTTGAAACTTTTGAAAATCTTCAAATCTCTGTCTCAATGAAGTAAGAGCTTGATCCACAACAAACATGAAAAATTCTACTCTAAAGGTTTCTTCTGCTGACTGGGGTGTGTATTCATTCTCATTCTCATCAAATTGCCTTTTTCTTTTAATTACCCGTCTCGTTCGAAATACGGGTTGAACACCCAATTTGGTGGCAATAAGTTGAGCTTCTTTTTTGGCTTTCTCAAAACCTGTTTCTCTATAATCTTCAACAAGAATGATGAGTCCTTTCAACTGCCGCAAAGCCTCATCCATATGCATGTCTTCATTTTGAAGTGTCTTACTGACACTATTCACGAAAAATAATAAATCATACCAAATAACCAAACTCATCAAAAAATCAAAGTTTTAGAATTCATTTGCGATCAAACCTTCAGCTTCACTAGTTATTGTTCCATCTTCATCGTTGTGTGCCAACTCAAGTAAAGCATTTCTAACTTCTTCTGTTTGTCGTAGCAATGGTTTCACACTTTCAATACGACTTTCCCATCGTGTTTGGGATAATGGTTTAAGAGTAAGACCGATAACATTAGCCTTCATGATATCCCACCGTTTTGTTGAAGCAGAAAATAAGCAATATATTTGTTGAATAACCCCAAAAAAAAATTTACCTTTGAGACAACAGCTGGCCATATCACAAAGTGCAAGATTCACACTATGACAACCACATGGCATGTAGAAAGCTCTTGGATTTCGATCAAGTAATCTCTTTTGTACACCTTTGTGTTTTCCCTTCATATTCGACCCATTGTCATAACCTTGACCTCTTATATCATTGATGTCTAGCTCAAGAGTATCTAATACCTCTTCTAGTTCACTAAAAAGATCAAGTCCTGTTGTATCATCCACTTTCAGAAACTCCAAGAAAAACTCCTCAACTTATATTGGGTTTACAGTAACGTCCACACATCGTATCACAAGAGTCATTTGCTCTTTACGGCTTACATCAGGCGTACAATCAAGTATAACAGCCAATATCATACTTGTACCAAACGTGCCCTAATACTAATACTAATACTAATACTAATATTAATACAATACTAATATTAATACTAATTATAATTCTAATTTGAATCTTAATCCTAATCCAAATCATAAGACTAATACTAATCATAATTCTAATACGAATTCTAATATGTTAATGCTAATGCTACTATGTTAATGTTAATCGTAATCGTAATTCTAATTCTAATCATAATCATAATCATAATCTTATTATGTTATTGCTGATGCTAATACTCTACTAATACTAATACTAATCATAATTCTAATCCTAAAGATTAATTCTAATTCTAATCAAAATCCTAATTATAAGCCTAATTATATCTCAATCTTAATCATAATACTAATACTAATACTAACACTAATTTTAATCCTAATCATAATTGTAATACTAATCACAATGCTAATTGTTAATACTAATTATAATCCTTATCATAATCCTAATACTAATGTTAATACTAATATACCAATGCTAACACTAATACTGAATGAATACTAATATTTAATAATAATTATATTCTCATCCTAATCTCAATCATAATCCTAACCCTAATTTTAATTCCAATACTAATGCTAATAGTAATTCTAATACTAATCTTAAATCATATTACTAATCATAATAGTAATGCTAATTATCATGCTAATACTAATACTAATTCTAATCATAATCATAATCCTGACCATGATTTTAAGCATAATCCTAATGCTAATATTGATCTTAATATTAATATTTATAATAATATTACTATTAATACTAATACTAACTAATAGTAATACTAAAATATTAATACCTCATGTAGCAACATTTTTAGCTATTTGTGTTATCTATTACTAATATAATATAGTCAGAATTTCGAAGAACCAACATACCAAAGATTCGATCATCACAAAAAATGGAAATTAGGATTCTCATATAAATGAGTAAGGTCAAATCAAAGATTAATACACCGTGAGGTAGATTTGTACTCTCAATTTTTTTTTGTGTTGCATCTACCATAATGAAATGTAATATATGTTGCGATGCATTGGGATAAATGCGTTAATCCACATATTTATAATTAAATAGGATATCATCAATAAGTAAAGATTGTATAAATTACGAACCTATACCAAAGCATATAACTATTAGTTATAATTATGAAATAATTCATTGAAGGATGTAGTTCGTATGAAACATAAGAATATAATTGATTATAATATATTGCATGTTATACTATTAACCTTTAAAAATGAAACAATAATTGAAAAATTATAAATAAATTGTGGATTGGATATATTTGTAGAACTTAAATTAATATTTTAACTTCAAATAATTTATATTCATATTTGATGATATTCACATATGACAACAAAATATATCTAAATTTACATAATTAGTGATCAAGATATATAGTATTTTGGATATTATTGTAAGATATTATGTAATTAGCCAATATAATATACTATTGCATATTTAGTTAGTATATATATATATATATATATATATATATATATATATATATATATATATATATATTAACGCATGCCAAATCATTAAATTCGATATTTGTTAAAGATCAGAGGAGTAGTAAATCATGATAGTCAATATTCTACAATATTAATCTTAATTATTTTCATTATAGATATAACCATATATTTTGTTACAATAATACGAATCTCAGTACTTAAAAAGTTTTAGTAGTTTATTAGGTCTTGTTGATGTATATTAATATATATGTATATTATTAATTATAATATGATGTTTTCCAAGAATATTAACTGCGTTTCGTATACGACAATTCGTATTGGAGATATAAAAAATAATTGATAAAACACAGTTGGAACAATCTATATATAAAATTAAGTAACAATGCGTAGTTAAATTAGAATTCTGAGATTTTATTGTTAAAAACGACAATAGATGATCTGATTATAAAATTTAAACGTAAAACAAATATAAACAGATATATCAAGAAATTAATAAAATATATATTATCACACGCAAATCAATATATCTATATCTAGGATACTCCATAAAGACATAAGGACATAGAATAACTACCAAACATAAATGCAAACTGTAATAATCTATTCTATGTTCTTAACATTTATTATATTTCTTATGGCGTCGAACGATAACGAATATTTGTTGCCAATATAAGACCGTTCGATGTACAAAGCGAATTCCAACCAATTGTGAGGTATACTCTGCGTGAATTATTTTTTGTTGCACACACACTAATATTATTCAACGAACCCCCTTCGTATTCAACATCGAGCCATTGTCCATCCATTCAGCATCATCAATATTGAGATTCTCTTGAATTGCAAAGGGTTGGTACATACACATATTAAATAACCAATCACATGAATGAGACTTCCACGTGGATCCATTGATCCAACACTAATTTGCATGAATACATCGTTCATGTATAAAAGCCTCATCGCATAAACCACAACAAAAGAAAGATTTGAAATCTTCCATTTCAGTCATCCCACATACAAAAATACGCTTTGCAAAGAACATATAGTTTGGACTGAGCGCAAACAACTGTTTTGATCGCCATAAAATACGAACGACTTTGTATAATAAACTGCATAAAAAAAATTAAAAAAATATATTAAAATTAACAACCCAAAAGAAAGAACGATAAATAATACTCATATGTATATATAAAAATAATCATGAATATAAAACTATGCATATATAATTATAAAAATATGTAAGAAAGGATAAATACAAATATAATATGAAACTGTATAATACGAACATTGTGCACTTTGTAATGGAGTGGTGGTAGATAAAAATGAAATCAATGTGGAGAGGTTTCAATAGTATTGAACATGAACTTTATTTTATGGAAAAAATAAAAATTCAAAAGATTTATATATTAGTAAATGAAATCAAATCAAACAAATAAAAGACACAACCCAAAAAAACAAGACAATAACTTGTAAAAAAAAATCTTGCAATACAAAAAAAATTAAATATAAAGATGATTAATTTTGCAATTCAGTTAAATATGGTATTGAAAATCATTCAATTCAATTAATAGAAATTAATTATATATAAAGACTTAACTATACTATATATCTTGCTATTTATATTATACCGTATTTAAAAAACCAATAAATTCAGTTAAATTTTTTACCATTGAATTTTGAATTAAAGAGTAAACTAAATCAATCAAAGATGATATGCAAGAATCTTGCAATATTGAAGAACCTTTTTTATTGGTGATTAGGTATTTTACATAAATTAGTCATTCCTTCTTAAATATGTAATAAATGATTAGATAAAGATTATATGGAATAATAGAAAGGGTAAATAGCATTAAACCACCTGAACTTTTTCAGTTTTTGCGGATCACCACCTGAACAATTTTTTTTTGCAAGACTTCATCTCAACTTAGTTAATTGTGCCACTTTGCCCTTTTTTGCCCGTTTGCAGGTCAAAATGACCGGTTCTCATCCCACATGCGTTGCACATGCTAAACTCAAGGTTAATGTTGTCTTTTCCAGTCCAAAAAATATTGGGCCCTAATAGCCGTTGACATTCACACATCCCCAATTCATCCGCCCCTTTTCTCATTTTCTAGGGTTTAGGATTCATCTCCAATTTCGCGATAATCTGAAGATCTTCACACTCTATCATGACTTGGAAAGTGAGAGAGGGTAACGACGCTGCAGATTTTACAAAAAATGCTCCAGATTACGGTATGTTCTGCGTTTTAATGTATTAATTTATTCTTTGATTTTAAAAACATTTGTTCGATGTAGTTTATCAAATGCGGTGGCAGTTGGTTGATTTTTTAATGCAGTGGCAGTTGTTATTTTATGAATTGTTGTATTCTATAGTATTTAGAGCGTAAAGCAGGACCACACTTGTGTTTTTTTTTATAATTTTTTTTTTGGCTGTTACCTCTTTGTCTAGATATTTAGAGTGTAAAGCAGGACCACTTTTCTGTCTGTACATGTTTTGTGTCCTATTTTTTATGTTTTGTCATTGTTATATTACAATTTTTTTTTCTGAAAATGTATTTTATATGCTTTGGCAGGCCCAAACAGTGATAATTTCACAATAATGATGCTTCATTCTGGAAAAATTATGGATTTGGGTGGGACCTGCTATGTTGGTGGAAATATAACTTACTTTGACCATTGTTGTGTGGATGAAATGTCAATGACTGAGATAACTGAAATGGCTAGGGAGATACATTTGGATGATTGGGATGATTTCTTTCATGATAGAAGTTGCCTGCATGATTGTAGTGTTATGCATTTAATGCAAAATGACAATGATGCTTTAGAGTTGGTGAATTATCTTGATGATCAAAGGGTTGCAGCAATTTGTGTAAAGCATTATGAACAAGCAGAGCAATCTGATCAAAGTGCAGGGGAATTTGAATATGAAGATGATTTTCCAGAAGTAGATGAAGCAATTGGGTATGTTGGTGATGTTGATGAACCTGTTGGTGATATTGATGAACCAGTGGATGGTTTTGATGAAGCACACTTTGATGATGATGGTAGAACAATGGATGAATTATTAGAGGATGTGATTGATTGTAATGACAGTGGGGGTAGTGATGGGCAATCAGTAGGGGATGATTCAGAGCATTCAGATTTTCTGGTTGATAGTGAATTTTTTGAGTCAGATGATGACTTTCAGTATGATGAAAATATTGATTGTGGGGTAGAATGGGGTGGACTTGGGCCAGACAGTGAGAGTGAAGAACCTAGAAGGTCTAAGAGGTTCAATACAGGGGTAGAGACTCAGGTTGTGGATATCCCCAAGAAAGATCAGTTCATGCACCACAACTACCCAGTGTTCAATTCAAACATAGACATGGAGAATCCACAGTTTCAGCTTGGCCTTTGCTTCCCTGATGCAGCTTCTTTTAGGGAAGCTGTAAGGCAGCATGGAAGAGTGAATGGCAGGGATATAAAACTGAAGTTGAATGAGAAATATAAGGTTCAAGCAATCTGCAAGCATGAAACTTGTCCTTGGTTTGTTTATGCTTCTCAAATGAGAAGTGAATCAACCTTTCAAATCAAGACAATCAATGCAATTCATGAATGTCCAAGAAAAGAAAGGGTTGGTTGTGCAAATTCTAGGTGGTTGGCCTCTAAATATGCAGATAAAATCAGAACTGATCCAAATTGGCCAGTAGACTCAATGATGGCTGTTGCACAGAAGGAATGTAAGCTGCTATTCAGCACACACCAAATGTATAGGGCAAAGAAAAAAGCTGTGGAGTTGAATACAGGGTCTAGTGCTGAGCAGTTTGGCATGTTGTGGAGATATGCTGAGGAGATAAAGAAATGCAGTCCTAAAACCACAATCAGAATCAAGGGGAATGGTGATGGAGATCAGATGAAATTCAAAAGAATATATATCTGTTGGGATGCTCTGAGAGAAGGGTTCCTGGATGGCTGTAGAAAGATCATTTTCCTTGATGGATGTCATTTAAAGTCCACATATGGGGGGATATTGTTGTGTGCAGTGGGCATAGATGCAAATAATGGGATGTTTCCATTTGCTTATGCTGTTGTTGAAAAAGAAAAGAGAGATACTTGGTTGTGGTTTATGAAGCTCTTGAAAGAGGACCTGCAAATTGAGAATTGTGGTGAGTGGACAATAATGAGTGACAAGCAAAAAGGTCTTATAGATGCAATAGAGGAACTGATGCCTAACAGTGAACACAGGTTCTGTGTAATGCATCTGTACAGCAATTTTAAGCTATCACACAGGGGTTTAGCATTAAAGAACATTTTATGGCAAGCTGCTAGAGCTACAAGGGTTGTGGACTTCAACAGAATCATGAGAGATTTGAGTGGGAAGGATAAAGCTGCCTTCCAGTGGCTTGCAAAAAGACCAGCTGCACATTGGTCTAGATGTTTTTTTAGAACAAATTCAAAGTGTGATACACTCTTGAATAACATGTGTGAAAGTTTCAATTCAATGATTTTGAGGCCTAGAAGTATGGGAATCATTGATATGCTTGAGGCAGTCAGAAAGATCTTGATGAAGAGGATACATGTGAAGAGAGATAAAATGGAGAAGTTCAATGGAAACATATGTCCAAATATTCAGAAGCAAATAGAAGAGTGGAAGAAGAAGTCAATGGAGTTCATTGCTCATTGGAATGGTCAGGCTCAATTTGAAATAGAGAACTGTTATGGTGACAGATTTAAAGTTAACTTGGAAGAAAAAACTTGCAGCTGCAAGAGGTGGCAACTATCTGGAATTCCATGTGCACATGCCATTTCAGGCCTTTATTACATGGGAAAGCAACCTGAAGACTATGTTGAACAATGCTACTCAAAAGAAACATATATGAGAGTGTACAGTCACCTAATGGACACACTTGAGGGGCCTGACAATTGGCCAATATCTGCAAAACCAGGATTGCTTCCCCCAGAAATTGAGAAAATGACAGGTAGGCCAAAGCTTCACAAAAGAAGAAAACAGCCAGGAGAAACCAGTGGCTCAAAAGATATACCAGCTCCAGTTGCCAAAACCATAACCACAGTTGGAAAATTGGGAAGGCAGGGTGTTTTAATGACTTGTAGCCTATGTAAACAGAAAAAACATAATGCTAAAGGCTGCCCTCTGAACAAGGTAAACTGTATTTATATCATAAACTATATTTATTTTGTAAATATGTCTTGTATTTATGGTTTACCTAACTAACAACATTCATGGTTTATTAACTTATAGGGAAAACAAAGTCAAACTCCACAGTCTACACAAGCTACAGAAGCTAATATCACACAGTTAGACAGTCAAGCTCCACAGTCTACACAAGCTACACAAGCTACAATCACACAGCTGGAAAGTCAAGTTACTGGAATTGAAATGGCATCAGAGAAAAATGACAAAAGAAAGGTAGTTTAGTTTAGTGTGTACTCATTTATTTCTTATAATTCATGTGTGTAATGGTATTTGTTTGGTTATGTAGAGAACTCAAGCAGCTGTGAAGAATGCAACTGCAAGGAACAAATTACCAACAACAAGAAAAGCAAAAGAAAAGATTATGCAAGAAAATGTAAGTTATATTTTGGTTTTCTAAAAGTATTGTGTTAGATGATTAATCATCTAACCTGTGATATAATTTCAGGAACCAACAAGAAAAGAAAGGGGTAAAGGAAAAGAACCAATGATGTCTGTTATTACAAAGGCAAGAAACCAACAAATTGATGGTTCATCTCCATCACAGAATTTGAGGCCAAGAAATAAAAAAGGTCTTGTGACAAGAAGCCAACAAGCTCATGTGGCAAGAAACAAACAGTCACAACCAAAGTTAGGAACTGAAGAATGTGATAGCAGAATGAAGTCTGTGAGGAGAAGATTAATTGATGAGGATGATTAGGGGTGCAAAAATACAGTGACTTTTGTTGTTTTTGTGAACTTTTTATCATATTGCATATTTTCTATCATTTCATTTTGCTAGCTGGATTGATTACTTTTGAACATGTTCTTAATTTTGCTGTTTGATGAATTTTTGGCTATTTTGTAAGCTTGGTGGATTATTTCCATGCTAGATTGGTAACTTTTGAGAGCTGACTGGATATTGTTATTTTGTGCACTTGTGTCTTATGTTATGTGCAATGAATGATCAACAGTTCTTTGATTGTATTGGTTGACACATCTTTTACAATTTGATTAATAGTTCTAAATATTGATCAACACACATATTGACAGTTCCAAATATTGATCATTTCACAGATCATAAAAATTCAGTACATATATTCATTACACATAAAAATTCTGCAACTTACATAGGCCAAGTAATTATATTTTTCCACTTAAAAAAACCACAATAATCCTACTACAATTTCAAAGATCTAGATAAGAATGTAGACCAACAACAGGGCAACTACCAAGGCCATCCACAACCACTTTTCCCTTGACCCTTTTTTGCTCAACTGTTCTTCAATCTTCTTTAACTCCTTTTCATTGTTGTTAATTCTTCGAAGTAAGCCAGGAATTATCTGACGAGATCTTTCGCACATTGGGGGATCAACCCAAGCGAAGTAATTGCAACCTCCAATTTCCTGATAACATATAATCGTTCATAAAAACATGAAACTTACAGATCAATTCAAATATGCTATTTCAAATTTTTTTCTTACCCTATATTTTTGACATGTTTCGTATCTCCTTCCTGGGTTTAATTCAGTCCAGGACGTCTTCATTGTTGTCCTCCTTGAACAGTAGCACGACATTTTTAAGAACAACAAGAAAAAAATGTGAAGAGAAAAATGGAGGGAATGGGAGAATGAGAGATGAGTTGCAGTGAAAATAAATGAGAAGAAAGAGAAAAATGGAGGGAAAATAATGGACATAAGAGAGAAATGGAGGGAAAATAATGGACATAAGAGAGAAATGGAGGGAAAATTGAAGGAAATGGGGCTTTAGGACTGGAAAAGACAACATTAACCTTGAGTTTAGCATGTGCAACGCATGTGAGATGAGAACCGGTCATTTTGACCTGCAAACGGGCAAAAAAGGGCAAAGTGGCACAATTAACTAAGTTGAGATGAAGTCTTGCAAAAAAAAATTGTTCAGGTGGTGATCCGCAAAAACTGAAAAAGTTCAGGTGGTTTAATGCTATTTACCCTAATAGAAATTGGATAAAATTGATACAATCTTTGACAATTATTTTATGTATACCTTATTTATAATTTGACATATACCGTATTCATAATATACCGTATTTATATTTTGAAATACGGTATAATAGAAATTGTTAAAATTTTAAATTTCAAAATATTGTATATTTATTAAATAGTACAATTATTTTTGATTCGAAATACGGTATAATAGAATAATTTGAAATACGGTATAACAGAAGTTATATAAAATAAAATATTGTATATTTATTAAATAGTAAAATTAAAAAATTAAAAAAAAAAACATAGTTATTTTCAATGGAATGGATATTCGAATATTCCAAAATATTGAAAATTAAAAAAAAAAAAAAACAACTCTATTCCTTTATTTTAATATTTGAATATTAAAAAAAACTATTTTTTTCTGAGATTTATTTGAATATTCGTAAAAAAAAATTGAGTATCATGAATTTTTTCAACAAATATATTTTGAAATACTGAAAATATAATAAGATTTCTTTTATTTTGAATTTATAAAATATTAACTTTGGAAATAATATATATACGTGTGGTAATAATTTAAATGAGTGTATAAATGTTGAATATGAAATAACTTAAATACATACCAACATAAAATTGACAACTCACCTATTAAAATTTAACTACATCTAAGCAATTTTGATAAATGACATCATCCTTTGACACATGTCAATCATTGAGAGCATAGATCCTCTTTTTATTATATATAGATTATTTTAAATAAAAAATACGGCGAATTAAATACAGAAGCCCTCCCAAAATCGCATTACCTAAAAATCCTCCCAATATTTTTTCCCCAATATCCTCCCAATATTTCTCCATCTCTACACAAATCTTGCCTCCAACTTTCTTAGTATCTCGAAAATCCAATTCATCTTTTTCTCTTGATCTCCATAAACTTTTTTTTTTCTATATTTTTTTTTTCAGGCCGGTCTCCGGCGTAGACTTTTTTTTTGGAAACATTGTTGTTTCTTAGAAAAAAATATTTGATTAATATATTACTGTCTTGGCTGCTAACTATCTCAGACACTAATATTACTGTTTGGGACAGTAATATTATCAATATTATTTTCTCGAACAGTAATATTACTAATATTATTGTCCTAAACAATAATATTATTACAAGAGACAGTAACATTTCGCTCGGAGACAGTAATATTACTATCGAAGACAGCAAAATTGCAGGCCAAGACCATAAAGTTACTTAATACAGTAAAATTACTTTCTCAGACAGTTAAATTACAATTGGAGACAGTAATATTAATTAAAATAATTTTTTTGAAGAAAAAACAAAATTTCAAAAAAAAAAAGTCAATTAACAGTTAAATTACTGTCTCCGACACTTAAATAAGTGCAGGAGACAGTAATTTAGCAGCCAATAGAATAATATTAATTAAAATATTTTTTTAAGATAAATAAAAGTCAATTAACAGTTAAATTACTGTTGGAGACAGTAATTTAGCAGCCAAGATATAAATATTAATTAAAATATATTTTTAAGAAAAAAAAGGTCAATTAACTGTTAAATTACTATCTCCGACAGTTAAATAACTGCTGGAGATAGTAATTTAGCAGCCAAAACAGTAATATTAATTAAAATATTAAAAAAAAAAAAAAAATTAAAAAAAAAAAAGATCAACGCCGGAAACCCGACAGTCAACGGCGGTCAGAAAAAAAAGGTTTTCAAAAAAAAAAATCAACGCCGGAGACCGGTGGTCTTACCGGTCTCCGGCGGCTCCGGTGGTGTCGAGTCAAAATTGGGGACAAAATTGAAATTATGGTCACAATTGGTTAATTGGTGAAATTGAGCTAAATTGGGGTGTAAATCATGAAATTGGAGTAAAATTAGTTTCTGGGGGTAATTTTGGTATATGGAAAATGGTTTTCCTTATTTGCAAATAAGTTTGAATGGGATGTAAATATTTGACAGACAAAACAGTTGGATGTCCATTTTTTAATTAAGGGTTTTTGTGCATAAGTCTCTATCCAACCATCTTTATTATTCTAGGTTTATGGGCTATATATATCTTTCGCCAATAAGCCAATCCCTTTAATATTTATTATTAATAAAGGAAAAATTCATGTATATGACAAAATTACCCCCAACTCTTTACACCCAATTTTTAATTATAACCCCAATTTAATTAATTTTGACAACAAAAATCAAATTTTGACTTTTTTTTTTCAATTTTTTTTTTCTAAACTAATTTTTAATTCTAACCCCAATTTTTTTTTTTTATTATTTGTTTTTTTACCCGCCGGATTCCGACGTTAACTTTTTTTTTTTTTTTTTTTTTCTGGTTTGTTTTTCCGCCGTCGGTCTCCGGCGTTGACTTTTTTTTAGTGGTTTTTTTTTTAAAGTCCGCCGCTAAATGTTGACCGTAATTGTGCTGTCATTAATGGTAATTATACTGTCACTGGCAGGAAATTAGCGTAATTATACTATCACTAACAGTACATTAACGTAATTGTACTGCCGTTAACAATACATTTATGTATTGTACTGTCGTTGACAGTACAATTAGAGTCAATGATTATTATTATTTTTTGTTTTGTTATTTTTTTTTTATTTTGTTTGAATTATTGACAAGTCAACGTAATTATATTACTGTCGTTGAGAGTAATATAATTGTAAACACAATAATATTACTGTCAACCACATCAAAATTATGATTTTTTTTGGGTTTTTTTTGTTTGAGTTATTCACGGAGTAACGTAATAATATTACTGTTTATTATTGTAATATTACTGTAAACACAATAATATTACTGTGGTTGACGGTAATATTACTGTTGTTATAGTAATATTACTGTCACTCACAGTAATATTAATTCTTTTGGCTTTTTATTATGTTTACATTTGTTCAACGGTCAACATATTAATATTACTCTATTACACAATAATAATGAGTTTTGTTGTACTAATATTATTGTGGTAGAGATTAATATAGCAATATTACTGTGTTAAACTGTAGTGTAGTTAATTTTACTATACTTAATAGTAATATAATTAACATTACTTTCAATCACAATAATATTGTTGTTTAAACGAGAGGGGGAGGGGGGTGGGGGGGGGGGTGTGGAAAGATGTTAAGTAGAAAAACAAAACGAAAAAAAATATAAATAAAAAGTAAAAAATAATCCAAAAAGTCAACGGCTGAAACCGATGGCGTAAAAATCACGAAGAAAAAAACAGGTCAACGCCGGAGACCGGCGGTGACAAACGAAATTGTCTATAAAAAAGTGTTTTGGGTCAAAATTGAATAATTTATGAAATTTGGAGTTAAATTGCGGTTAGATAAAATTAAATAATGAAATTGGAGCATATTAAAGTATGAGGGGCTATTTTAGTGTTTTACAAACCTCTGGACCATGCGTGGACTTTTCTCAGATGAGGGTGTCTTGCTAATTTTCCAATAAATATATATATTAACCCCGGACTTAAACAAATATATCACATTAACCCCCGTTTTAATAATTTTTTTGAAAAAATATTTATTCTTCAAAAATAATTTTTTTTCAGATTTTTTTTGGGCAGGCTAGAGTCCGGTGTTGCCTGGATGGTTCTCTGCGTTGAATTTTTTGTTTTTGAAATTTTTTTCCGGCCAGTCAACGGTCTCCGGCGTTGACTATTTTATTATTATTATTATTATTATTATTATTATTATTATTATTATTATTATTTAAAAATTTGTTTATTCTTACAAAAAATTATTTTAATTAATATTATTGTCTTGTCTGATAAATTAGTGTCTTAGACAGTAACATTACTGTTTGGGACAGTAATATTATAAATATTATTTTCCCGAACAGTAATATTACTAAATTAATGTCCCAAACAGTAACATTATTGCATGAGGCAGTGATATTACGGTTGGAGACAGTAATATTACAGTCGAAGACAGCAAAAATGCAAGCCAAGACGATAAAATTGATTAATACAGTAATATTACTGTCTCCGAGAGTTAAATTACTGTTGGAGACAGTTATTTAATAGCCAATACATTAATATTAATTAAAATATTATTTTTTACGAAAAAACATAATTTCAAAAAAAAAGTCAATTAACAGTTAAATTACTGTCTTCGACAGTTAAATAACTGCTGGAGACAGTAATTTAGCAGCCAACACAGTAATATTAATTAAAAAAAATTAAGAAAATAAAGTCAATTAACAGTTAAATTACTATCTCCGATAGTTAAATAACTGCTGGAGACAGTAATTTAGCAGCCAAGATGGTAATACTAATTAAAATATTTTTTTTAAGAAAAAAAAGGTCAATTACAGTTAAATTATTGTCTCCGACAACTAAATAACTGTTGGAGACAGTAATGTAGCATGTAATACAGTAATATTAATTAAAATATTTTTTAAGAAAAAACAAAAATTAAAAAAATAAAAAAAAAAAGAAAAAAAAAAAGAGTCAACGCCGGATACCGTGTGGTCAACGGTGTTCAAAAAAAGAAAAAAAATCAACGGCGGCTGACCGGCGGTCTCTGGTGGTGGTGGGTCAAAATTGTAATTAGGGTCAAAATAGGTTAATTAGTGAAATTGAGCTAAATTGGGGAGTAAATCATAAAATTGGAGTTGAATTGGGTTTCATTTCAATGAATTGGAGGTAATTTTTGTATATATAAAAGAGTTTTCCTTATTTGCAAATAAGTTTGAATGAGCAGGAAATATTCGAAAGACAAAAAAGTTGGATGTCCAAATTTTAATTAAGTGCCCTTGTCATGGGCCTTTTTGAGATTAACCAAAAAAACAACAAATAAATTTCGATTCTAATTCAACGAGAAGTTTGCACGCAAGGAAAGAATGCCATAGGTACGTAATTCTATCTATTGTAGAGTTGTACCCCTAT